AGCTGACGTTTCGAGCGTTAGCCCTTCGTCGGAGCAAAGCCTACATCAACCCTTGTTTAACCATTAATTGACACAAGCACACTCCAGAAAAATATTTTGAGTTCTTCCAACAGGAGTGCAACCTAACTTCCATGATGTGAATTGATTTCATTACAAAATATAAAATTATTACCGCTGATAAAATATATATACAAGAAGATGACAACTTGTTTAGAACATCCTTAACCCTTTCACTGCCAGAAGCAAGCATCAAGTCAATTTATTATTATTATGTTTCTAACTTTTGAGTCTGTGGATGAAACCCTAGAGTGTGACCATTCAAATGAAAGCTATTGAGCAGTACTTTCATGCGGTACTGTTTATTATGCTGCACAAGGTGGCTCTAACTTTCAGTCTGTGGATGAAATCCTAGTGTGTGACCATTCACATTAAAGCTTATGAGCAGCAGTACTTTCATGTGGTACTATTTGTTTTTCCATATCTTCCAATGAAATATGAGATTTGTTCAATTTGAGCTTTGGCACTCTTGGGAGTGAAAGGGTTATTTTATATTAGGTCCATAACTTGCTTATTGACTGAGTAAGATCACAAAGGCCCAACTTGTCCCTAAATCTGCTGAATGCAGTCAAATGGGCCCCTCTCTATAACAGCCAGGATCCAATCCATATTGAAACCACACTACAACAGCCATGCCTGTACAACAGTACAATTCTGCCCCAGGGTGGCTGTTGTAGAGAGGTTAGACTGTGAGCAGTCCCTCTTTCTTTCCGATAGCAAGTGCGAACCGCGAGAGAGCGGGACTCACTTCCGCTCGGCCCATTCCCAGCTCGCGCTCGATTTCCGCTCTCTCACGCTCTCTCGCACCGCTTTTTAAGCCCCCCTCCCCCTAGTTATATGTCCATCTCCCTGTTAACAGAAAAATATTCTGGTTATAAGCCCCCCCCCCCCCCCAACTATTATTCCTTGTTTCCTTATTATAAATGTCCTCACAGAAATTGTTGAACTTTAGATGGTTATTACCATATTAATTTTCCTTTCTTCTGTTTCCATATATACCAGTTGTGTTAATGTTCTTACTTGAAATTTGTTTTTGTTCTCAATTTCCCAAGTGATATTGCTGCATCAACTTGTTTGTTATCATCTCATTCTGACACATTTTTTTATTCTGCTTAGAAGACCCCCCCCCAATATAAGCCCCCTGTTCATAAGCCCACTCAAGACCCCTTACATTAGTTATATTTTAACCAGAATTTTATGATAATCGTGATATTAACAATAGTTTACCAATTTTTTTTTATATTACGGCCAGGGTTGAAATATCAGCAAACGTTTTTAAATCTCCAATCAGTCCATCGTCACATATTGAAATTTACAATAAAATAATTGGAGGACCTGGTGAAAAAAAGGCAAAACTGACCTTATTATATTAGGGGTGGTGAATGGTCTTTGAAAAAATACGGGTCTCGCAAAATTTTAGTCAAATTTCATGGGTCTCGCAGTCTCGTTTTTTGAGCGGTTCTGTATGTCTCGCAGTCTCAATTTTTTTGCAACACTGTTTTGGAGTCTTGATCTTGGTCTCGCCATCTAAAAACTCAAAAAGTCTTGGTCTCGCAGGGAAAAACGCTAGTCTCGCCGTCTCGCAAAGTCTCGAATTTACCATTCGCCACCCATATTGTCAAACTGTCCTTTTTCCACCAGGCCCTTCAATCAAAAAATAAGTTGTAATATTAGCTTAACTATTATTATTATTATCCTAGCAAAAATTGGCTAACAACAGCCGGTCTTCTGTGGTTCAGCGGCAGGAATATTTTTGAATTCTTGAGAGGTTGTTACCGAAGCACTGTTCATTAAAGTTATTGAATCTGGGTCCTTTGGAATGCTTTCAAAGTTATTTGCCTTTTCATTCTCTAAAATCTGCAAGGAGAAAAATATTATTAGAAACAATCAACTAGTTAGTTTAGTTAGCAAAAACACATTACTAACTGACAACGTAGCGCAACTATGATAGCAGACCAGAAAATCTAAAGGCAAAGCCCTTCTTATACCTGCCAACTCTTCCCAAGTCAAATGTGTGAGGTTTTCGTCTACAGAATACCTGGATTTCCGAAGATGTTCCGATGATTTCCGAATGTTGCAGAAGATGTCCGAAGATTTCCGAAGATGATCGGACGATTTCCAAACGTCTCAAAAATGTCCAAATATTTCCAAAGGTTGCAAAAGATTACGGTTCAAACACAGTTTGGAGAACTCAAGCACGACATGTAGTGTCATTAAGGAGACTATTATTTGTCAAAATTGAATCAAATTTACATGCTGCTTGGTTAAGGAACTAGTCACCAGGATTTGTGAGTTAGGCGTGAGAAATTGGCCTCTATGCATGACATCGATATTTTCGATCCACAGGCGTCTGACTCATGCATAATGTGTGAGAATTGACAGGTATACCTTCTTAGTCTATTTTTATGGACAGCAGTCACTAGACAGGTCGGCATAACTTCAGTTTCTGTAGCATAAAATTGTAGGAGTATTGCTGCTCCCCTGTGATGCTAGTTTATTGCAGGTTAACCCCCTCCCCCCCCCCCCCCCCCCCCCCCCCTTTCCCCTTTCATTTTATCTGGTTGACCCTGTTGCAGAACCCTAGGTGATAGTACAAAATGGGTGCCAGAAATGGGAAGAGAGTGGTGAAATTAAAGAAGTAAGGTTGCCAATTTTGATCAAGGGTGAGATTTTATGGCAGTTTGAAAATGTGAAAAATATAGAGGATTTGTATGGAAAATGTTGCTGGATGGCAACGCTTGCCAATTTGCCTGTATCCATTTATACAGTCGCCTGGGCTGCAAGCAAGCTTTTAGCCAAAAGGACATCCAGGTGTCCAGTGTACGCCCAATCCTGAGAGAAAATGGTGAAAAATGCACCAAAGCTTTAACAAATTTATGGGGGATATGCCTCCAGGACGCCCACTTTTCAAATTCTGGCTAAAAGCCTGGCTGCAAGAGGCCCACTGCGAGTCAGAATAGTGTCTTGTCTCTGTGAACGTACCTTTGACACAAGATATTTTGCAGCTTCAGAAATGTTGATATCTTCTTTAGCTGATGTCTCAAACCAATTGATAAATCCTTTGTCTGAACAATACTCGTCCATTTGACTAGCATTGTTAACAAGACCCTCCTTTGCTTGGTCACACTGCAAAATAAAAAGAGTGAATATCAAACACCTCCCACACATAATAATACACTGTACATACTACGATTATCAGTTGAGTAAGGCGCGATGGAAGTTTGGTGACAAGGTTTACAGCTGAAAACTATGTTGTTACCATGAGCAACTGACTTAGTTTCCAATGGTAACCTGTGTGTCGCTGACGCTTTGTTACCATTGACGTCAGTAACAGACAGAAAGTCTGGGTTACCATTAGAAACCTAGCCAGTTGCTCATGGCAACAACGTAGTTTTAATGTCAAAACATCGTCACCAAACTTCCCGCGCCTTACTCAACTGATAATCGTAGTAGCTTAGTAGTAAAAGCTATTGAGCAGTACTCTTATGAGGAACTGTTTATTATGCTGTATAAGGTGGTTCTAACTTTTATGTCTGTGGATGAAACCCTAGTGTGTGACCATTCAAATTAAAGCTATTGAGTAAGTGGTACTGTTGGTTTTCATTTAGTTGTGGAATATGCATGTAGGAGGTAATCAACAAACCTTGTTTGCTAAAAGTACAACAGGAATTGGAGATCCATTAGGAAGCATAACTTTACCATCCAAGTCGTTCTTCCATTTTTGCACTGCTTCAAATGTAGATGCTCTGGTGACATCAAACACGATGAAAGCTCCGACCGCTTCTTTGTAGTAAACCTGCCAAATGAATATAATTTATTTATGACTTTTTAATGCAACAACATAATGATATGATATAAATAAACAATTTATTTTTTCTCACCACATTCACTGGAGTGAATACTAAGTAAGTAAGTAAGTAAGTAAGTAACAACAAAGATAAACAGTAACTTACCCGTGTCATGTTTCCAAATCGTTCTTGTCCTATGTTCAAGAAATGAAATTCGACCATATCATGTTGAAGGTGCAAATAAAGAAAGTATTAGGAAATTTTTATGGCAAGGCTTCATTGGTCTGCATGGGATTATCTTCAGTCGATACTTTATAGACTGCTTGCAGTCTGTTTCTCTCTCTAAATAATCAAAAGGAGCACAGTGTGAGAAATTGGGACGGGAAGGATTGTGACAAGACATCGTCGCCACCATCTTTTGCGAACACTCTCGATAGATAAACACTCAACAGACTCTAAGAGAAAATGGGGCACTGCAAGCAGTCTAGTCAATACTCAATATCTTGGTCAAGATCCCAGTACACTATACCACAAGACAACGTGACAACACCTGTTTTATTAATCTTGGCACAGCAGGAAATACTTTTGTGAACAGCTTTTATCCTGGAACTATAAAAGACTGGAACCTTTTGCCCTTGGATATAAGATGCAAAGACTCCCCAGTATGCACATTGTAAGGGTTCAGACTAGCCTTGAATGCCAGCTCTAGCTGTCCGCCTTCTAGGTGTCCGCCATAATGGGAGTTCAGTTTTCAGACAAACAGTGAAATTTAGCCAGGACCAGACAGCCAACCATGTCTGCCTTTGGGCCGATTTAGACGGTACAACTTTGTCACATGTGACATTCTCACAACAAGCCTACGACACAAATTGTTTTGTCTAAATCAAACCTACAACTTTCTTATGATTGGCGTGTATGACACGAAAAACATTGTAGGATTTTGAAACATGTTTTAAAACCCTATGACAAATCGTAGCCACAGACAATGTTAAATGATGGGAGCTGTATACGATTTTTGTATAGCAACGAAAGTCTAAATCAGCCCTTAGAGGTGTCCGCTTTTCAGTGATGTCAGCTTTGAGAGAGTTGACTATGCATGACTAACAATTTGTTAAAATGTTAAATATTAACCACTACAGTCGAACCTGCGTGGAAGACAAGGTGGCCTAATGGTTAGCGTGTTGGACTCCGGATCGAGCAATCCAGGTTCAAGTGCTGGCCAGGGTCATCGTGTTGTGTTCTTGAGAAAGATACTTAACTTGTGCCTCGCTCAACCCAGGAGTATAAATGGGTACCAGCGACAAAATGCTAGGATGTAACATGCGATGGCCTAGCATCCCATCCAGGGGGAGTAGCAATACTTCTACTCGGCTTCATGCTATGGAAACCGGGATAAGCTCCAGCAGTGAGAGTCAATTTGGTCCAATACAGCTTTACCTTTTACAATCCAACCTGCGCTAACGGACACCTCCCACAGGCGGACACCTCCCGTTTGTGGACACTTCATGGTCCAAACATTATTTTGTAACCTCCCATAAGTGGACACCCTCATTTTCCTAAGTGGATGCATTTTCTGGTCCAAGGGTGACAATTATATGAGGTTTGACTGCATTTTCTCCTCTTCAATGAGGAACAGGCTATATTATATTATAAAGCCAGAAAAGGTAATCTTACCTGCAATATCCCACAGCTGTAGACGAATCAATGTATCAGGGTCCCAATTTATAACTTTCAGTGCGAAATCAACACCAATATATTCATAGTCAAAGTCAACAACAACAACAATAGATATCAATATTGCGTGTGACCGGCATAATAAGCACTTAATTGCGAGAAAATTATAATATCTACAGAGGAAAAGTCATGCTAAAGAAATACTGAAATGCCAGACATAAACAAAACTAATTTTCAGCAAGCTAACGGACGCTAACACATCGTCTCGTGCATGAGCTAGAATTAAAAAAACGTATTTGTTGGATAACATTTGGAAATTTTCGTTTAGATCTCTTTGTAGGAAAGGATATTGTAGCTCTGTAGTGTACAGAGAAGAACTGATGTACATATCGCTTGATTATGCTTGTTTTTCCAACACCGAGGTCCCCTATCACAAGAACTTTGAACAAGAACTCTTCTTCTCTCCTGAAGATTCCTACAGAAAATTGAAAAAACAGCCATGAAAAATGACATTCCAGCCACGCTATATGTTGTTGTGAATCGTTTGCGAAGAACTGTTTAGGAAACAGAGCAATAACCGTACCATATTCTGCTGTTGTTGTGCTATAACTTGACAAATATTCTGAGTCAGGGTCAGCCACCATGTTGTCATGTGATGGTTGACGATATATTGAGACGCTTGATTGGTTAAGGAATTTCGACCACAGCGCTTTTGGAATTATAAACTTGTTTCTTATTGGCTAATGTAGATTCTCGAGGTTCCAGGAATCCCTGAACTTTCCCAGGATTCGGGGGAGGGGTGGGGGAGTGGTTATTATTACGACAAAACCCCGTTTGAACTCTAGCTCATACAAACTCTGTATTTACACATTCTCGTAAGCTCGGACACTTTTTCTGCTTCCCGAGGTGTCCGCTCATGGGAGCTTCGACCGTCAGTCTGGGAAGGGAGGACAAAATATTTGAGACGGAGGTCTCGATTTGCAAGAAAGCAGGCACTTTTTCCAAAGATCTTTGGCGTGGGTTCAAAAGAGTGCGGCTACTGGCATGTAGTCTGAATTTTTCAGCCTTTCAGCCCAAATGGGTACGGTACGGTTGTTGTTGACGTGAAATGGGCCTGGCGTGACCTAGGATTCAATGCATCTTTATTGGTTCCTTTCATATCTCTGTTAAAAATGTGTGAAGGACCGTGAAAACTGTCAAGCTACCATAAAAGTGAAACTAACAATCAAGCGAAACTGCATTGTAGGGCTTTATAGCGCAGAAATGTCCAATCTTCTATCTGTATTTTTAGGGCAAACAAATTAGATTGCAGCAATACCTGTGTGTTTATCTGGTGAAGATAGAAAACTAGAAAATGGAGATAGGACCTTTATTTTCTACGAGAAAATACTAAAGTTCGTGTTTGATCATGATTTCATTTCTTTAGGAGAGCTTTTTGTGTAGATTCTTGTGGATTCAAACAAGAATTCAATTTCTCTTTGCGCGCGAGCATTCAACTTGAGCGCGAGCAAAACATCACAGGAAACGTCACAAACGACAAAATGACTTCAGTGTGGAAGTTTACCATAGAAACGATCAGTTGTGTACAGACTCAGCTTGCCGTGAACACGGAGAGAAATTCACGTTCTCAATTTGCTCACAGTTGTGTTTTACTACGTTGATTCATTAAGACTGATCAATCATGTCTGAGATTAACGAACGCGTTTCAAAGAAAGCGAATTTATTTGGAGAAAATACCATGAATATTAATCCGATTTTGAAATCGGAACAAAACTCCAAGAAGCGAAAGGCGGAATCTGATCCCCTTCCAAGGAAAAGACAACGAACAATGAAAAAGGTGAGTAAAACTCTCTTTAATTAAAGAACACATTTGTTAACGAGTTAGAAACTAAGTATTTTAGTTAATTGAACAAATTAGAAAGTATTTTGCAGTCGAGTGAAATTGACTTTATTTTATTTTCCGGACACGCGCGCTATAAAAGTCGAAGAAAGAAGATTTCATTTTCTCGGATATTTATTTAGCTTTCCTTCGTTGTTAGAACAAAATCTTTAACAATAGCGAAGAGAGGATCAATTGCAGTACTTGACATAAACTTTAAAAGTATATTTTTGTTATATTTTTACAGGGTTTCCTCAGCGAACGGCGATACAACAGCAGTTCTAAAGTACTGAGGTAAGTTTTTAACAAAAAAACATCAGCTAATTTCACCTAATGAACGCTTCTACATAATTTGTTGTTTCTTTTATCTTAACAGGACAAAAATAAGATATACAGGCAGGAAGCCTAGGAAAAACTACCCTGCACAGAAAAACAGTAGCTGCGACACATCTCTCGATTATGGGGTAAGTTAAAATAAAATAAAATAAGCTGCAGCGTGACCGATGTACAGATATTTTTAGAATAATTTAAAGTAAGAAATAGTTTGTTAAATAGTACACGACCACTTGTATAAGCTTTGGAAACACAAGTGAAATAATTAATTGCACAAGTTCTCATTGCGATTTCTTGTTGATAAAAATAGAGGGCAAAATTTAGTTCGACGAGCGAAAGCCTACCAGAGGCTTGCCGTACAAACAAAGGGATTTTACACGTAAATCGGCCACACAATCCGCAAAAATGCTAACGTCCAGAACAAGAAAAAAAGCTCACTAACCTGAATAACGTATGAGCATAATATTGAAAAAAAATCCTTCAACAACTAACTTTTTTCACTCGTGTTGTGAAGCTTGAAAATCCTGCATCGGTGAAAGTTATAAAACGAACGAACGAAGTCCAAACGAACTTGCAGAGTAACTTCTCCAAGTGTATTTTACCTTCTGCTATCCACAGTCAAAAATATATAAACCACAAACAAATCCTGTTCGCTCGCAGCCGTTTGAAGTGAAGAGACGAAGCGAAGGAGTTTCCGGAGTTTCTTGACAGCCATGAATGTCCCAAACCACCGTCTCGAATATTAAACAATGCATGTTTTTAAACCTTCACGGACAAATTTAACGAGAATAATCCTTCGTTACTTCACTTAACTCGTTAAAGTACAATTTTCTTAAGCTACAAGTCGTTGTTTTCTTCCTTTTTTGATGAAAGTACTCAAAAGCGTTAATGTATTCGTTACGCTTCGAACGGACGGCGGGGTGTGGCTAGAGATGCAAAGGATCGAGGCCCCAGTGGACTGGCCCCCGAAGCGAAGGCGGGGACCCGACTGAGGGGTAGGTGCTTGGACGGTTTCTATGGAAACCGACACCACAGCGAGACCCTTTACACCAAGTCACACTGACCGATGTCAGTGGAGAATGAAACGAGAGGAAAAGGGGACAGGATAGAAGGGACAAGGGAGGGCGGGAGCGACGAAAAAAACTACGCAACGATCGGACTGCATGTGTACACGACAGCAGCGCTAGCGACGATTGAACCAGGCGAAGTGCCTCCTGGGAAATCCCCGAGCGAGGCTGCGCCGGGCCGAGGCTTGGGCTGCGTTCCAGGCTTCGCTCCACTTTCCATTAACTTCCGCCAACAATATTGACGGCCATTTAATGTATTCGTTACGCTTCGAACGGACGGCGGGGTGTGGCTAGAGATGCAAAGGATCGAGGCCCCAGTGGACTGGCCCCCGAAGCGAAGGCGGGGACCCGACTGAGGGGTAGGTGCTTGGACGGTTTCTATGGAAACCGACACCAAACTGACGAGCCAAAGGCGAGGAAGGCTCCAAGCACTAAGTGGGGGCCAGGTCCCTGTTGTCCTAGACTTTGCATCCCTCGATAGCAGTGTAAGCGAGACACGACCGAACGATAGGAACACGGCAAGGAATGACTACCGGGAGGCGTAACGATCCTGAGAGCGACGTGAGCGGCTGCAATGATCCCGAGGGCGGCGTGAGCGACTGCAAAGATCCTGAGAGCGGTGTGCCCGACTGCAAAGATCCTGAGAGAGGCGGAAGCTGCAACGATCCTGAGAGCGGCATGAGCGACTGCAGAGAACCTGAGAGCGGCATGAGCGACTGCAACGATCCTGAGAATGGTGTGCCCGACTGCAACGATCCTGAGAGCGGCGTGAACGACTGCAGCGAACCTGAGAGCGGTGTGAGCGACTACAAACGATCCTGAGAGCGGCATGTGAGCGACTACAACGATCCTGAGAGCGATGTGAGCAACTGCAGCGAACCTGAGAGCGGTGTGAGCGACTACAACGATCCTGAGAGCAGTGTGAGCAACTGCAGCGAACCTGAGAGCGGTGGGCCCGATTGCAAAGATCCTGAGAGCGGTATGAGCGACTGCAGCGATCCTGAGAGCTTGCCTAGTTCCTAGGCCTCTATATTTCGCCGAGGTCGACGTGAGCGACTGCAACGATCCTGAAAGCGACGTGAGCAACTGCAACGATCCTGAGAGCGGTGTGCCCGACTGCAACGATCCTGACAGCGGTGTGAGCAACTGCAGCGATCATGAGAGCGGTGTGCGCGACTGCAAAGATCCTGAGAGCGACGTGAGCGACTGTAACGATACTGAGAGCGACGTGAGCGACTGCAACGATACTGAGAGCGACTGTAACGATACTGAGAG